TTATTACCTATGTAGAAAATCTGAAAGACCTGACAGAAAAACTCCTGGAATTAATAAGCAATAATAACAAGATTGCAGGATTCAAGGTTACTATACAAAAGTCAATTGCTTTCCTATATATCAGCAATGAAATAAGTAGAATTTGAAATTTAAAACAGTATCATTTACAGTGTCACCCAAAAAATGAAATACTGAGATATAAATCTAATAAAATGTGTATAAGATCTATATCAGGGGAACAATAAAACTCTGATGAAAGAAATCAAAGAACTAAATAAATGGAGAGATAGTCCATGTTCATGGAAAGAAAGACAATACTGTCCAGATGTCAGTTCTTCCCAACTTGAACTTGATCTATAGATTCAATGCAACTCCCGTGAAAATCCTGGCAAATTCCATTGTCTAAATGTACCAGTTTATTAATCCATTTGCCTGATTAATGACACTTTGGCTGCTTCCAATTTTAAGCAATTATGAATAAAACTGCTATAAACTTTTTTTTTTTTTGAGACAGAGTCTTGCTCTGTCACCTAGGCTGGAGTGCAGTGGCATGATCTTAGCTCACTGCAACCTCTGCCTCCCAGATTCAAGCAATTCTCTTGCCTCAGTCTCCCAAGTAGCTGGGACTACAGGCATACACCACCATGCCTGGTTAATTTTCGTATTTTTAGTAGAGACGGAGTTTTACCACGTTGGTCAGGCTGGTCTTGAACTCCTGACCTCATGATCGGCCCACCTCAGCCTCCCAAAGTGCTGGGATTACAGGTGTGTGCCACCACACCCGGCCTAAACATCTTTATTTTATGGCTAAAGTTATTTTGTGGATATCAACAAACTGACTCTAAAATTTATAGAGACAGGCAAAAAAGCCAGAATAGACAACATAAATAACAAAGTCAGAAGACTGACACTATCCAACTTTAAGACTTACTGTAAAGCTACAGTAATCAAGATATTATGGTATTGGTGTAAGAATAGACAAAAAGAGCAACAGAACATAATAGGGAGCCCAGAAATAAACCCACATAAATATAGCCAACTGAATTTTGACAAAGGAGCAAAGGCAAAACAGTGAGGAAAAGAGAATCTTTTCAACAAATGGCGCTGGAACAACTGGACATCTACCTGCAAAAAATGAATCTAAACACAGACCTTACATCTTTTACAAAAATTAACTTAAAATGAATCATAGGCCTAAATATAAAATGTAAAACTACAATCTTCCGGATGATAACATAGGAGAAGCTCTAGATGATGTTGGTTATGGTGATGACTTTTTAGATAACAAGACCGAAGGCGCAATCCTTAAAAGAAATAATTGATAAGCTAGACTTGATTAAAATTTTAAAACTTCTATTTTTCTAAAAACACTGTCAAGAGAATGAGAAGACAAGCCATACAGTAGGAGAAAATATTTGCAAAAGATGCACCAACCCAATTTAAAAATGGGCAAAAGAACCAAACAGACACCTAACCAAAGATACACAGACGGCAAATAGCCATATAAAAAGATGCTCCATACCATATGTCCCTAAGAAAATGCAGGTGTGTTTCATTATAGAAAAACAATGAGGTACTACTACATACCTGTTAGAATGGACAACATCAAGAACTGTGACTGTACCAGTTGCTGGCAAGATGTAGAGAACAGGAACTCCCATTCATTGCCGATAGAAATGCAAAATGGCACAGCCACTTTGGAAGACAGTTTGGCAGTTTCTTACAAAAATAAACATATTCTTACTATATGATCCAGCAATTGCACTCCTTGGTATTTATCCAAAGGAGGTAAAAACTTACGTGCATTCAAAAACATATGCATGATTTTTATAGCAGCTTTATTTGTAACTGCCAAAACTTGGAAGCAACCAACATGTCCTTCAGCAGGTGAGTGAATTAATAAACTGGTTTTTCTAGAGCACAAAATATTACTTAGTAGTAAAAAGACAGAAGCTATCAAGCCAGAAAAAGACATTGAGGAGCCTCAAATGCTTATTTCTAAGTGAAAAAAGCCAATCTGAATAGGTTGTATCTTGTATGACTCCAAGAAAAGGCAAACATATGACATTCTAGAAAAGGTAAAAAACTGGCGACAGTAAAAAGATTAGGAGTTACCGGGGTTGGTGGGCAGGGAAGGGTAAGTAGGTGAAGTACAAAGTGTTTTAGGGCAGTGAAACAGATCTGCATACTATAATGGTGAATATGTAGCATTACACTAGGAATGCACACCACACCAAGAGTGAACCCTATTGTAAAGTATGGACTTTGGGCAATAACAATGTGTCAGTGTAGGTTCATCAGTTGTAACAAATGCACCCCTCCAGTGCTGGACGCTGATAGTTGGTGAGGCTATGTATGTATAGGAGCATGGGGTATATGGGAGCTTTCTGTACTTTCTGCTCAATTTTTCTGTAAACCAAAAATTGTTTTTGTTATTGTTGCTATTTTTTGAAACATGGTCTTGCTGTATTGCCCAGGCTGGTCTTAAGCTTTTAAGCTCAAGCGATCCTTCTGCCTTAGTCTCCCAAATAGCTGGGACTACAGGAGTATACCACCATGCCCGGCTTTAAAACTACTTTTTAAAAATAAAGTATATTCAAAACAGAGTGTGTGTGTGGTGGGGCAGGATCTCACAGAACAGTGAGAGATAATACAAGGTGGTTAAAAAAAAAAACAAAGCTTCAGGGTAGCCTGCTGTGCAGAAACGAGTAATGAAGACACCCTTCTATGAAGGAGACTGCCAATTAACTGCTCATGTCCCTTCTTGCTTTCTTCCTCTACAATAGAACCCTTGTGCTCTGGCTGGATAAATGGCCTCCCAACCAAAGATTACATTGCCTAGCTCCCCGTCAGTGAATGAGGCCACAGGACTAGGTTCCGGTGAGTAGCACTTGAATGGATATGATATAAGCAAATTTCAAGTCAAGTTCTGAAAGGGCGAGGGCCTGTCCTCCCCTTCCCTTCCATCCTTCCTGCTGGTCAAAAAGCAAACACAACAACAAGAGCTGGAGCAGTTACCTTACAAAAGGTAGGACAACATACTGAGGACGGCAGGGGAACATGGGAGAAGGTACCAGGGTCTCTGAAGCTAGCTAGACACCACACTAGCCATGGACTACAGTTACATTGAAGGCTAAGTTTCTGCAGCCAAGCTTGTTTTCTAAATTATACCCTATCTCATAGGGCTGTGCTAACGATCAAGTGAGACAAGGTACATGAAGTATCTAGCACACAGTGCCTGACACAGAGCAGGTTAGTTCCTTCTCCGTAGGCTCTGAGAGCTCAGAGGCTCCAGCAAGGGAATGCAGCTACTTAGACAGTCTTGACCAAAGAACACTGCTCGTCTACTTTACATGGTCACTTCCTGCAACCAAGCCCATGGCTATGAGTGGGACACGTTCAGAATGGAGAGGAAGGTCAACGTGGTGATCCATAGAGTAGCAGATGCTGAAGGCAGAGCCTTCTCAACTGCACTTCCCAAAAACTACCTTTGTCATTTTAAATGACTGCATTACTTTCAATGTGCTGTCCTGCCTTCAAGATAAGACCAAATATACAACACAGGTCTTTCACAGCCTATCCCTGCTCTTTGATCTAAGCTCAACTCTTTCACTCCCTCATCACACTCTGCACTGTAGTCCTGCTAAGAGGTTTGTAGTTCTCTGATCATGATAAGCTATCCCCAACAGCAATTGCCGGCAAACTTATCTCTGCTCAGTGTCCCTCTGCTCACTTCTCTACCTGGCTGACTCTTGTTCTTCTTAAGACAAGGCTCAGTAATCACTATCACCTCTAGGATGCTCTCCCTACCTATGGCAGAGACTGCTCATGGTCCTCCAAAATTCTTTCTCTTTCTTCCATAAAATAAGAAGTTTTAGGCCAGGTGTAGTGGCTCATACCTGTAATCCCAGCACCTTGGGAGGTTGAGGTGAGAAGATCAGCTGAGGTCAGGACTTTGAGACCAGCCTGGCCAACATGGTAAAACCCTGTCTCTGCTAAAAATACAAAACTTAGCCAGCTGTCATGGCAGGTGCCTGTAATCTCAGCTACTCAGGAAGCTGAGGCAGGGGAACTGCTTGAACCTGGGAGGCGGAGGTTGCAGTGAGCCGAGATCATGCCATTACACTCCAGCATGGGTAACAAGAGCAAAACTAGGTCTCAAAAAAAAAAAAAGAGAGAGAAGTTGTAGGTAGCATCTAGCCACTAAGCTAAAGACGACTTCCCAGCCTCCCAGCTGTGTCCGTGGGACTCAATGCTGGCCAATTCAGTGTGAGCAGGAGTGACAAGTGGTCCTTGCCAAACCGCCACTTGCCCAATGAAGGAGGGCTCCCATTCACCTTCCTATGGGCTGGAATGTGACCTGATGATGACTCATCCCCAATACTCAGACAAGGCAACACACCAAAGACAGCAGAACAGGAAGATAAATCAAGTCCAGGTCTCATATGTCTTCAAAGGGTCATGATGAAAGAGAAACTTAAGAGTTTACTTTGAATTCTGAATGCAAATCCCCTCCGTGGCCTTCAACAGCCATTGAATCAAACCCACCAATTATAGAAGACAGGCCACAGCATCACCTAAAAGCCCCAGGATTAGGGTAGAGACCTTCATGGACTCAGGTCACTGATTCAAACTATCCAAGACAGGGGGAAGCAAATCAAGGTCAGGAAGCTGAGGCAGGAGAACTGCTTGAATCTGGGAGGCGGAGGTTGCAGTGAGCCGAGGTCATGCCATTGCACTCCAGCATGGGTAACAAGAGCGAAACTAGGTCTCAAAAAAATAAAAAGGGGGGGGGGAGGGAGAGAGAGAGAGAAAGAGAGAGAGAGAGAGAGGGAGGGACGGAGGGACAGAGGGAGAGGGAGGGAGAGAGAGAGAGAAGCAAATCAGGGTCCACATCATCTTGACACGACTGGATCATCTTCCTGAGTCTCCCACCTCTGCTCCTTTTTTGACAGGTGTTTCCTTGTTTGATAGGAGGTCAGAACAGCTTGAGGCCTTACCTCTGGACACTTTGTAAACTTCATAGAAGGAATAGAAGTGGAAGCCTAGTGAGGCAAGTAGGTAAAGTGCCAGTTCCCATTGGGGCAGCATGGCTCCTTGTCACAAAAGTTCCCGATGCCCACGCTGAGTTCCTGAGAAAGAGACAAAACATTAAACCATGAACATGACACTAGAAAACAGCATCTTAACATCAATTCAGTTAGTTCACACTCCCAGAGATTCATCACTACTCAAGGTGGTACAGGCATAACCCCAATCAAGCCTCCTTCTCCCTGTGACCTTACCCCACCCTGCATCCAACACACGCACACACACACACACACACACAGTCTGTCAAATTTGTCAGGTCTTTTCCTAGGAGTTCCCACTGCCTCCCATCAGAGGATATATCAGACAGTTCTCTACTCATTGCGTAATATACCTGTCTCTTCTATGGAGTGGGCTATTCTCAGATAGCAGGGACCATGATCTCTGACTCCCCAGCCCCTAGCAGAGTGCCTAGAATGTAGCAAAAAGGGACTACCAGGTGTTCTGTGAATAATAAATGGCTTCAAAAAGTCTGAAAAGCACAAACAATATTCAAACCTCTAAGCCAACAGACTCACCATCCTCATCATCCCTTTCAAGTACCATCCTATGGGCCAGGCATGGTGGCTCATGCCTGTAATCACAACACTTTGGGGGGCCAAGCTGGGAGGAACACTTGAGGCCAGCAGTGTAAGACCAGCCTGGGCAACATAGCCAGATCCCATCTCTACAAAAAATAATAAAATAAAAACTTAAAAGAAAAATGGCTGCGTGCAGTGGTGCACACCTATTACCTCATCACTGTGGGAGGCCAAGGTGGGTGGATCACTTGAGGCCAGGAGTTCGAGACAAGCCTGACCAACATGGCAAAACCCATTGCAACTAAAAATACAAGAATTAGCCAGGCGTGGTGGTGCTTGCCTATAATTCCAGCTACTCAGGAGGCTGAGGCAGGAGAATCACTTAAATCCAGGAGGCCGAGGTTGCAGACAACCGAGATTGTGCCACTGCACTCCAGCCTCGATGACACAATGAGACCATGTCTCAAAAAAAATAAATGAAAATAAAAATAAAAGAAATACAGTACTATCTGTAGTTGATTGTCAGAATGGAATAATATAAACCTCTCTGTCTGCCATGCATCTATGCACTCTCTTACTTATGTATTTTCAGAGATAGGGTCTCTATGTTGCCCAGTCTGGTCTTGATCTCCTGGCCTCAACTGATCCTCCCATCTCAGCCTCCTGAGTAGCTGGAATTACAGGCACAAGCCTCTGTGCCAGGCCTCATCTGTACATTTCTTAAAGAGAAGTTAATGACATAACCACAGGCATCTGTGACGGACACTGCTCATTACCCACCACCCCTCACTACCCCTTTTCAGTATTCAGTCTTTTTTCTTACACAGCAATTAAAATTTCATCTGGACACAAGATGCTGAGCTCAATACTACATTGTAGCTAAATGTGGACGCCTGAATAGCTCCATTCAAAAGGGTGTGAGTGAAGGGACGTGACTGTGGCCATCTCTTTCCCTCCCTTTCCTGTTGAAAAGAGTTGGAACAGCCACTGTGGATGAAGAGGTGACAGCCACATGAACAAGATAGCGGCCCCTCAGTTCTTGACTCCATGTACCAACCCCAACCCTCCAAGTGCCCCAGACCTCTTATATCTGGACTGTTACAGGAAACAGAAATGCATTTCTAGGTTGTTTAAGCCTCTCCTATTCTAGGTCTCTCTGTCATGGCAGCCATGACCATATTTTAAGTAATAGAGAAGGTATGCGAAAGTTCGGTCCTAAAAGTCGGCAAATTAAATGATTCCAAATGTTCCCAAGTAACAGAGTTCACTAAATTCAAACCCTTTTATGGCCTTTACTGCTTTAAACCTCTCAAGTATGTCTCATTATGGATGCCAAATTAAGAGCAAAATTTTAAGTCCCCCACAAGTACTTCTAACATGTGACAGTAATGCCAAAACCCAGAATTCACACGTTATCTCATTTTGTTTTCACAACAGCCTGGTGAAGTAGGTGGAAGTGGAACAGAGGAGGTAGGCATTTTATAGATGACAAATGTGATGAGGTCACAGAGCCAGAAATAACTGAGCCAGGGCAAAAAAACAAATACTGCATGATCTCACTTATATGTGAAATCTAAAAAAAGTCAAACTCACAGAAGTAGTGGTTGCCAGGGGCTGGGGGAAGGGTGGAAGATGTTGGTTAAGAGATACAAAGTTTCAGTTGGACAGGATGAATACATTCTGGGGATCTATTGTACAGCATGGTGGTTACAGTTAACAATAATGTATTCTATTCTTGAAAAGTACCTCACCATAAAATAAGCAGGTAACGTGATGGATATGTTAATCGCCTTGATTTAATCATCTCATAATGTATAGCTAAACATTACATTGTGCAACATATAAGTACAATTTTGTCTAAATAATGAGTAAACAAATAAGTAAATAACTGAGCCAAGGCTCAAAGCCAGGTCTTTGGACCCAGGTCCTCCCCCTCCACTCTGCCACAGCCAACCCCATTAATGCCAATGTACAGTTGCTCAGACTCTGCCACACACAAACTCCTTTCTTCAAGCCACTGGGAAACAGAGCAGGGAGGGAAATGAACTTCAGCTTTGATAAATCACAATTTCAGAAATAAGTGGTCTTGCACCCAGAGTGCCCCATTTCATTACCTAAAAGCCGCCCAGAAAGTTTGGTGTAGCCTTTCTCTACAACCTAAGAGATCCAGAAGCAATCATGTACTCATGCTGTACACAAGCTTCTCTATGCCCTGGTATTCAACAACACTTGGTCAAGTTCCTTACTATTTCTCAGAACTGCTTCTAGCTTTATCCATTTCTGCTCACATTTTTAAATACTTTAATCTTTAGAATAACAAGACTCCTTTCTGGAAGTTTTTAGGAATTTGGTAGTCTTCCCTTTAGTGGGATGATAATTTTAACTTCTTGGTTTATAATTTAACGTCTTGCCTGTTGAAATACGTTGCTGTTACAATGGGTGACCTCTGCCTCAGGAAGAATCGGTGATTAACAAAGAGCTGATCTCTTAAAAAGGCTACTGAAATTTGAACGTAAATGATCTTGTAGATTAAATGAAAGTTTTAAAAGGCCTACCTGTCAGATGCTTTTCAGGGACATTCTGAGACAATTTTCCTAGAAAATTCAGTTTAATTATTTCCCCTTTCAGTGCCACCCCTCCAGGGTGGCAAACAAACTTGTTTGTTTGTTTGTTTGAGACAAAGTCTAGCTCTGTTGCCCAAGTCGGGGTACAGTGGCAGGATCTCAAATTGCATTTGTATGATTACCATACTTTACACATTTGTTAGATTATTTTTATTCATTCATTTTCCACCCCACTTGTTCCAATTCAGGGTCTCTGGTGGCTGGAGCCCATTCCAGCAGCTCAGGACACAAGGCAGGAACCCGCCCTGGACAGAATGCCATCCCAGCAGAACCCACTCATGCTCACACCCTCACACTCACTACCAAACACAGGTTCGCCACTTGCAAAACAAATTAGCAAGATAGAAAGTGACTTTATTATAGACCAAAGCTAGCAATGGGGAAGATGGCCTAGATTCTTGCCTTAATGAAATCACTTCAAATTTCCAAGCGAAGTGCAAAGGTTTAAAAAGGGGAAGGGAGCTGTGGCATGGGGTGAGGCAGTGCAGGCCTGCATGACTTGTTCCAATGACTTGTCTTGAATTGTTGCTCCCTCTTGTGAGTGGGCTGGCGTCATCTCGGGCTCAGCTGGGTTGTAAATTAACAGTAGCCTCGAAGCAATCTCCTTGTAGGGGAGATTTTCACAGGTGCCTGCTAGTCTCTGGAACCTCAGCTTCAAGCTGAAGGAAGGAAGCTAAAAACTGACTGAAAGCAGGTAATGGTGGCCCCGAGGGGTCCCCAAAACAGGAAGCAATTGCAGGGATTCCTAGGAATGTCTGGCTTTTGTTGAATTTGGATTCCAAATTTGGAGTTGATGGCTAAGCCACTTTATGAGGCCTTTAAAAGGGACTAGATTCAGAGCCCTCTACCTTGGACAGATGAACAGCAACAGGCATTCGATGCCATCACAGATAAACCTTATAGGGTACTCAGTCACACTCACACACTGGGACCATTTAGACACCCAAATTCACCTCATAGGCACAGCTTTGGGATGTCAGAGGAAACCCAAGTGCCCAGAGAAAACCCCTGCAGACATAGGGAGAAGGGAGAATGTGCAAACTCCAGGTAGACAGGCAGAAAATCCATTCCCTTTTCTTCAATGGTATAAGGAAACAATGACATTGTTTGAATGAAATAGTAACATTGTTGAAACAATGTTATTATTTCCTGCTATGTTTTGTAGATATATACACAAAGATACATAGTAACTAGCAGCAAACCAGGAGGTAACTAAGCAGCAAAACTAGCTATCCCCTCACCCCCAAAATTTAGGGATTGAGCCAAATACTCTCCACCTGACAGCACAGTAATAAATTCTGACACCAAACCCACCTGTGGGGTTGGGGAAGAGGGATGGGAGAGGGGAGGGGTAGAATCCCAGGCTCTGTCATTTATTGATTGAGGAACTTAGGTAGATGATGGCCTCCCAGATGTTTTCTCATAGGGTTGTTGAAGGGGTTAAATGTAAAATGCTTAGCCCAGGGCCTGGCACTGAATAAGCACTCAACAAACATTAGCATTTACTAGTTAGTGAATTTCATTCATCAGGTGCCTAACTATCCCTGACCCTGATTTTCTCCCTTAATCAAAGAAATCTGACCTTCCTGAGGTGTGCCCATCCTACCCGCACCTGGACCTCTTTCAGGAGGTTGGCATCTCCAGGGCTTTAATATCTCAATCCTCTTCTGATGCCCAATCCAAGACCACCCTGGACAGTAAGCAAACTGTCCGTGGGGGCCACCTGCAAGCTTTCCGCCCGCTGCCTCTTTCTCTCCCCCTACCTCTCTGCTACCCGCAAGGGAATGATAGGCAGTACCTTCCATTTTCATGTTCATCACTCTCCACTACATAATGCCACCTCATAATACCACCACCACACACTCACCAATCCTCCTTAACAGATCTTTCTTCCTCACA